CTGAAAAATATTTATAAACACACCTTTATAAAACCAAACAAAAAGAACTTAATCATAATTGTTCCTTTTAATTGAGGAGTAAAAAAGAGATATCTTGATACTCAAAAGAACTGTTAATTTATAAATTACAAATGAAATAGCTTACAGGGTTATTCATTCTTATATGCGCGTCTATTCATTTTTATATGCGCCTTTATTCATTCTTATATGCGCATTTATTCATTTTTATATGCGCCTTTATTCATTTTTATATGCGCATTTATTCATTTTTATATGCGCCTTTATTCATTCTTATATGTGCATTTATTCATTCTTATATACGCATTTATTCATTTTTATGTGGTTTACAAAAGCAATTGTAAAACAGCAATTTGAACCAAAAAAAATCATTTAATAAAATCATTGATAAAACAGTTTATTATTTCAAAACAAATTTTTCTTATTTCCTGGTAAACGAGTTTAAAAATACTTATAAGGCGAAGACTTTTTATATTCAATGATGGTTTATTTAACTTAGTATTAGTTTTTAGTTTAATTTTATTACATTATATTAAATTGTATTATTGTATTAAATTTCTTGATTGATTAAGTTGTTTTTTAGCTAATTATTTATTTTTCTAGATTTATTATTTAATTATTTAAAATTATTAATATCAAATTTTTACCCTATGGATGGAATGGAAAATAATCGTAAAACAAGGGAAAATGTTACAAAAGAGCACATTGAAATGCTTAAACATTTAGTTGAAAGAAATCAATCTACAACAAGCATTTCCACTTCTCTTAATTTATCGAAGCGCACAGTTAAAAAACTTGTCGTTAAGTTAAACAGAGGAGAATTCGACGACATGACTGCATTCAAGTCGTCTTCTGATAAAAAAGGTGAAAGACCTATAAACGCTCAAATAAAAAATATTATCGAATTATGCGTACAAGAAAACAATCTTTGCACGCAAGAAACAATAAAAGAAAATCTTTCTGCAGCAGGCTTCAACATGTCTCAGCCTACTATTTCAAGAAAACTCAAACGCTCGGATTTATCAAGAAAACGTGTTGTGCATGTGCCAGAAGAACGAAATTCAACACGAATTATTAATGCACGCTATGCATTTGCAAGCGAAATTAACGAAATTTCAGATGAAAAACTTATTTATTTGGATGAAACTGGATTTAATGTGCACACTAACAGCACATATGGTTATTCGCTAAGAGGTGCGCCATCAAAGAACGAAATTCAACACGAATTATTAATGCACGCTATGCATTTGCAAGCGAAATTAACGGAATTTCAGATGAAAAACTTATTTTTAACTTTATTTGGATGAAACTGGATTTAATGTGCACACTAACAGCACATATGGTTATTCGATAAGAGGTGCGCCAGCAATTTTACAGTCGCCTGCAAATCGTGGCAAGAATGTTAGTTTAATTTGTGCTGTTTCAACAATGGGAGTGCTTGCTTATGAAACAAAAACTGGAGGCTGGAATGCAGATTCATTTTGTACTTTCATAACTACAATGATGGCACCAGCGATTAGGAATGCAAATGTGGAAGCGCCGGTGCTTGTTATGGACAATTGTAAATTCCACTGGAGTCTTTCTGTTAGGCAAACACTAGCCTCTCATGGTATAGCTATTAAGTATCTTCTAGCTTACACGCCACAGCTTAATCCAATAGAAGAATTTTTTTCTTCTTTAAAACATACTTACAAACAGGGAGAAAGGCCTCGAAATACGGATGAGGTAATCAGGAAACTTAAAAATATTATGGATACTAGAGAGTTTAATATAGTTCCATTTTACAACCATATGCGTAATTATATAAATCAAGCACTGGCTCGGCAACCATTTTTTAAATAAATAACAATGAAAACAACCTAATTTATATTTTAAATATGTCTAGATAAAAATTTAAAAGCGTATTTATCGTGTGTATTAAATTATATTAGAGATTTTATGGGTGGTTGACGCATATACAAACATAGGGATGTACAATTTGATATTAATAATAATTATAAATAAGTAAATTTAAATCGAGATAAATGAATAATAAGGTAAATAATAACTTAATCAATCAAGAAATTTTATAATAAAATTACAAAGAACTAATACTAAATTAAATAAACCATCGTCGAATTTAAAAAGTCTTTGTTTTAAGTATTTTTAACCTCGTTTACCTGGAAATAAGAAAAGTTTGTTTTGAAAAAATAAACTATTTTTTCAAAACAAATTGCTCAAATGATTTTTTTTTGTTCAAATTGCTTTTTTACAATTGCTTTTGTAAAACGCATATAAGAATGAATAAAGGCGCATATAAAAATGAATAAAGGCGCATATAAAAATGAATAAATGCGCATATAAAAATGAATAAAGGCGCATATAAAAATGAATAGACGCGCATATAAGAATGAATAACCCTGTAATATATATGAAATATTGTAACATCGAATGAATTAATATAAAACAATAAAATCATCTTATAATCGAGGATGTAGATTGTTAAAAAACAAAAACAAATTCTTAAATTTTAATCTTTTAGCTAAAAGATTAAAATTTAATTTTTATTTTTCATTAGATTTTTAAGAAAAAAGCATCATAACTATTTCTTCGAAGTTAAAAGTAAAACAAAAAGAACCGTTAAGAAATACGTCACCATACCATTAATCTACACAGAAATACGTCACCATACCATTAATCTACACAGAAATACGTCACCATACCATTAATCTACACAGAAATACGTCACCATACCATTAATCTACACAGAAATACATCACCATACCATTAATCTACACAGAAATACGTCACCATACCATTAATCTACACAGAAATACGTCACCATACCATTAATCTAAAATTTTAGTTAAACATGAACAAGATCAACCTCAAAATCTCTTCAATAATTAAAATGTCAGATATCTCTTCAATAATTAAAATGTCAGATATCTCTTCAATAATTAAAATGTCAGATATCTCTTCAATAATTAAAATGTCAGATATCTCTTCAATAATTAAAATGTCAGATATCTATTCAATAATTAAAATGTCAGATATCTCTTCAATAATTAAAATGTCAGATATCTCTTCAATAATTAAAATGTCAGTGTCAGGTCAGGAGTATGGTCTTCATGATCATCCTGCTACTGGTAACATGTAACCCAGTGCAACCTGTTCCATGTTCTGCTGCCTTGCAGGATTTGCTTTCTAAGCAAAGGCTGGAAGGAGTGTTCTTCCTGTCATTAGTACTATCTTATATCAGTCATGCCTAAGGTAATTTTTTTTTTTTTTTTCATATAGTTGGAGGTGCCTTAGTTACTGTATTAGCTCACCTGTAATCTACATTATATGTATGTTTGTGTTCTGTCTGAACCTCTGGCGCGGTGTTCGCTCACCCGTAAGTTACTTTATGTTCTTTATGTATGTCTGTGTTCTGTCTGAACCACTGGCGCGGTGTTCGCTCACCCGTAAGTTACTTTATGTTTTTGTTTATGTTTTTTATGTTTTTTTATGTATGTTTGTGTTCTGTCTGAACCTCTGGCGCGGTGTTCGCTCACCCGTAAGTTACTTTATGTTTTTTATGTATTTTGTGTTCTGTCTGAACCTCTTGCGCGGTGTTGACTCACCCGTAAATTGATTTATGTTTGTTTGTGTTCTGTTTATACTTTAATGCAGCGTAAGCTCAGTAACTAACTGCTTACTCCAACTACAAAACCTACACTCACCTTAGACTCCTGTATTTTGTTAGGTGCAGTGTTTTTTCTAATGCACTTTCAAAATGTCATGCCTGGTTTTCTCAAAGTACTGTTGCAGGAAGTAACTCCTTTTAACTACTCTAGGTTAGGTCAGGATAATCGAGATCAATCTTGCTACTGGTATCACGTAACCCAGTACCACTTGCCACAAGCCCTGCTGCCTTGCAGAGTGTGCTCTTCTTATGCAAAGGCTAGGAGAAATAAACTCCAACTAAAAATTCCCCTGCCTTAGAGCTCTTGGTTGAGTAAAGGCTAGAGATGGTGTCTCGATAAAAATACTCATCTTGGGCAGATGTTAACTGCATCCAGCTAAACATCCCCTGCCTTGGGGCTCTTGGTTGAGTAAAGGCTAGAGATGGTGTCTCGATAAAAATACTCATCTTGGGCAGATGTTAACTGCATCCAGCTACTGTCTTGTAGAAGGCCTCCTAGGCAAAGACTTTAGGGGTAAGCAGAAAAATTCTGCTAACCAGACTCGAACCCCTTCTTCATCTATTAGGCTGGCGTAGATGTAACCTGTGTTACATTGTTTCCTGCCTATGATGATGAATGCTGGATCTCCTTGACTCTACTCATAGAATTTTGCTTATGCCTCCTTGATAATGGCTATGCAACTCTTCCTGTTATCTCCATATGAGGGTACAGCTCTAAAACTCAGTTTAATGGTTCTGAGGCCGGCTGGTAGTAAGGTTTCCTGAACTCTGTGGTAGCTCTCAGAGAGGCTGATTCCATCAACATCTGCAAAATATCAGAGTATTAACAGTGCCATGTTGCGCATGGATGGTGTCCCTGTTAATGCTTTTGGTGTGCATTGTCAAGGCCACATAAGGAGTCCTATGTCACAGCTTAGGGTTAATTAACAGGACAGAGACAACTGCATAGCTCTATGATTAGGAGGCTGTGCTCTATCTTCTCATTAAACCCAAATCATGACCAAAGTAACCAAAAATTTAAAACCTAAAAAACCATCGCCACCACCTAAATATTTTAATATATCTTTTACAAATATTCGCGGTCTACGAAGCAACTTTCCATCAGTTGAGTCTTACCTCCTGCAAAATTCACCAGATTTGCTTGCACTCAGTGAAACAAATTTAAATTCTGCAATTCCTTCTTCAGATATCTGTGTTGATGGCTACTATCCTTTGATTCGTAAAGACTCAAATATTCACATGCTAGGTTTAGGGGTATACATACGCATCAATTCCCCTATTTGTCGTGAAATCAGGTTCGAATCCTTTGACCATT